TTGATATTCTTGTTTCAGCAAACTGTTTGTCAGTAATTTACCTCGTTTTAAAAATTGTTCATATCTAGAGAATGCTCTTGCGTATCAAATCAACTAAAAGATATAAACACCGTATGCTGGTGATGAAATATATTGCTGCATAAGTAAGGGAAGTTGACGATTGAACAGTTAAAATCATAAAGTTTTTCTTAAACCTTGGTTGGTAAATTGCCATTAACGTCTTTTTCAAGTAAATGTATAAATATGAAGCAGATTTATGTATTATTGACTCTATTTCTGTAATCAGAATATAAGTGAGTTGGGAATTATTTCTGCAGAACTTTGAACGGTAACGTAAAATTTTAAAAAAAATTAAAAACGTGACGACAAAATTTTCATGTAGCAATGCAATAATATCACCTGTTTATATATTCTATATCCTAAGTTGATTCGATAAACATTGACATGTCAAACATTAAGAAACGAGACAAGCATTGACAAACAAATTAGTGAAAATGGACTTTGAATTAAAGTCAACATGTCGTAAATTCTGTGTTTGATACAATGGCAGGAAATACAATCTATTGTTAAGTCGAATGAACAAGACGATTTCATACATATTGTTAAGTCATTATTTGCACACTGAACTGTCAATGGAATTTATTTCTTTGTCCGATCATGACAAGGAGCACAGATATTGCCTGTGAAATAGAGATGCATTTTCCCCACAACACATAGCTGATCCAATCTCTAATGTTCTTAAATCTCTGTATTTGCTTTGCTACCAACCTGTATCTTTTCAATGGACTTTTAAGCTTGATACTGGGCGTTATCTTCATATTGCATCTTACACTATATTTATTCTTTTCTTTGTTACGAAATCGAGATTTTAGAAAAAAGAAATTAACTATTATTTAAATAGTTGCCAGTGAAAACATTTACTATAGTCTAAAAACGAATAGGTTTAGATGTCTTGGTGAAGAATATGGTAGGTACCAGGGAAAAAAGGAGTATGTAAATTGAACGTAAAAATGATTTTTACACGGGTTAACTATCATTCATTATCATTGACAAAGGGAAATAATGCGTTTATGTTAAAAATTGTTCAGTAAAATATTCTAAAAAGTGAGGAAAATGAGTAAGGAAAGAAGAATTATATTTGTTTCTTTTCCAGTGAGGTCGACGTTGTGGGATTAGCAGTCGGTGTATTTTTCTGCGTCATGGGTGTGACGTTAGTTATTTATTGCATCACAAGGGCGTCTGGATGTTACAATACTAGAAGACAACCAAGGACGGAGATAAAAATAACCTACTTTGACGATGGTGAGTCAAGATCAGCAGAATGAAATTAAATGTTTTTTTTTTTATTTTGAAGTACATGTAAATGACAATAAATATCTGTTTAATACAAGGCGCTAGTTAAAGAAAATAATTATAGTTCCTTGAAAATCTTACTAAATCCTATTAACACTTTATTAAATGCTACATGTATACTTATATTAATTAGACATAACATGTATTACTATAATATTACTACTCATGCCATACATATAAAAAGCATTTACTTCCGCTGCAAAATATCTGCACACACTCAGGTGGACACGCATCTTTTTCAGTATTTCTACAACTGACGCTTAATTTCAAATAAAGCTAATAATTATCTGAATTTTATGAAATCAAACATCAAACAGATAATACCGATCATAAGTCAACCCCCAATTCAGCAGAATTTCAAGCAACTTTCTTCATTTAAAAAAATCTACGGAAAAATCGGTTCTTTGTGTCTGTTTTCCTTGAATGTTCCCTTAAATAATTCAACCAAATTGGAAAACTTTCAATACCACTGCCGATGAGGGGATTCTCGCGAGAATCTTCAGAAGTCCTGAACAATATCCTCAATTATATGTCCTACACGCTTGTGTCAGTAACAGTTGAAATTGTGCCATTTATCTCTAATTTGGTATCTGACAAAATGGAAAAGAGACAACATCCATCATCAGAAGAAGAAATAAACTCAGGTCGCTGCTGAGGATTCCTGTTAAATAAGGAGCTAATGGGGGCTATTGAAAACTATTACAGGCGTCTCTCCCTGAGAATAATATCAAAATAAGAATCAATCTTGGAGAAAGCTTCCAATAGAGGGAATGTGGTTTGCAATTTGAATTAGATGATCAAGGAATATCGAGATAATAAAGGCGTGTAATTTACAGATTTTCATTTTTATTCTTTTTTAATCTTGGCGGAAAATTTAGTCATGTTTCATTGATAACGTTTTTAACCGAGAACAGAGCACATATAAAGAAAGGTTTTCATTCAGCACGTATTTTCCCCCTATTTTGTTTGTCAAGTATTTAAAAATAATGTAATTTTGCATTTAAAAGTCCATCAATTAATTCTGAGATAAATTCATTGTATATTTTATTGCAGTATATCATTCTTACATCAGGGTTTTAGAAATAAGAATCTAATAAGTATATACTTATTACGTTATCACGTTTTGACTCCGTCAACATGCATATATTGCACTCAGCATTAACATATATAAAATGTTTCGTTATTTAAAAATAATAACAAAGAGAGTGTTCTTAACTAGTCACTGTCCTGCAGTACATGTCATTCTATAATGCTCATCACTTAAAATTTAAAAATTCAGATTTGAATCAGATATACACAGGATCTGCAGTACAGTGGAGAATTATGTGTTAAGAATTTCAACACGTAGAACAAAAGCAAGATTCAAATGAAATTTTGCTACAATATTAGAGATAAAAAATTCAGTAGACTTGCATACTTAAACGATCGAAGCAAAAGTTCACTTTAATTTCATAAAATGTTTTGGTCTTGGTAGCATTTCAATAGTTATATGGTCATTATGATGGATTTGTTAGCAAATATAATCTTTGATTTTATATTGAATTCAGCTAAATTGAATATTCTTCCCACGTGATCAATACATGGGGTCTTGCCCCTCCAAGGCACCTGAATGATCATCATACCTCTGTAATTGCCAAAAATTGAACTTGTTTATTGATTTGAAATGTTATTGAGTTTTAAAAAGATTGATCACAGTTGGATATCTTCACCTTTTTCACATTACCAACTCGGTAAAGTTAAAGTTATAGCAGAAAATGTTATTTGATGGTGTATTTTGCAGACTAATATGACCGCTATCTAACAAAAAATGTCAAAGAATTCTTAAACGTTTGTTATTTTGTTCCTTATGTACGTGGTAGGTACCAGTACATGCAATATGGACATAACAAGCTGTATTGAAGCTCTACAGTGAAGTGCATTCAAAATCCTTGCAAGAGGACTCCTTGTCCTGATCGGAAAAACTGAAAAATTAGAAAACTCAAGTGTACAAAAAAATTACCAAACAATAAGAATGAATGGCGTTAATCAACACACGTCTACTGATAGATTGTACTTGCTGACAAGGTCATTGTATTAGACATATTATTTGGGAGATTATGAATTTTAAGGACATAAGCAAGGTACCTTACCTACTGATAATTTTTGAAGATATTCTAAATTGAAACTTATAATACCATTACAAGTTCTTAGACAAAAAATCAGCATGCGTTACCAGGGGTTTTAAAAAGTTATCAAATTATGAAAATTTTTGCCTTATTCAATGAAAAATGTACAAAAATTACGAAACATAAATTCAAGACATTTTTCAATCAAAATTTGTTTTAGAAGAGGGGTAGAAATCCATGTATAGACATTAAAAGTATTGCACACAGGTCCTTCATTTAGTGGAACTCTTCAACTCCAGGGAAGAACCCAGTAAAGTTAAACATACGTTGCGTATGACCTTAACGAGACTACTCATATTCTTGTTTCATCCACTTGTTTGTGAATAGATACTGATCGTACGGAGAACATTTTTTTTAATGCGAAACAACAATGAGATATAAACCTCATGTGCAGGTGATAAGGGTATTTTGCTGTATAATTAAGGGTACTTGTCGATCGAAAAACCTAAAATCATCACGTTTGTAAAAAAGTTTTGCAGTTATGTTAACATTAACGTCTTTTTCTGGTAAAATATCCTAACATGAAAATGATGTACCAGACTCTGCAATATTTTTTATTTCATGTTCAATTACATAAATCATATGCGTCAGTCAAGAATCCTTTTGATAAATTTTCTTGTATGCCTTTTATGTATTTCAAAAATTTAATATATTTAATTGATTTTTTTTTTCATTTTTACATGATTTTTGAATAAATATCTTCACCCGTAATTTTTTTTATCTGGAAAGTACGGATATGCTTAAATACAGGAATACCATTTTACAGGCAACATGTATACGTTTGAAACATTTTGTCATTTACAAATTGATATTTCTATATTCAATTTCCATCCTTATTAAGTAGAAATGGTAATTTCATTAGATTGTACTTAAGACTGATTTATTTTTATTTTAGAGATAATGTAGCTAAAATGCATACATCTACTATTCCATGCTACTTTCAGATGCTGTCACCGCTTTAAGTTTACCCACAACTCATGCAGACGACGAGACGACATCAGCAGACGATGACAAGCCTACATTAGACACACTAAAAATACCTTGTGAGCAATTAAACTCTTTTCCGTCTCAGGGATGCCCAGAGACCAAATTGTTCGTAGACGATGATTGCTTTATATCTCACGGGAAAGTGTTGAAAAGTGATACGATACTTGGATTGAAGAAAATGGGGATACTGTAGCGTTATAAATTTCTTATTAATTAATTCAATGTAAAGTGTTCATTAATATTTTGAATCAAACACATAGGTTTGTTGTAAAATAATTCATATATTGATAAATCTGAAATGTTTTTGTCAATAAATCATAAACAATTTTGTTGATTACTCTCGTTAGAAGAAAAAGAAAAGCGCATAATATTTTGTTTTATTTAATTACAGCATAAAGTCTCTCGAGATACTGTAGTTCATTAAGACGAAGAAAAGTGCATTCTTGATATGTAAGCACAAATCCTGAATCCCAAGGTGTCTTCCTTACTGTAAATGGTAACACTTGTTCATCTTGCTCACAAAATTCCCACACCTTTTGTAGAATGTCTTTAAAGGTCAAAACCTCTTTCTCTAGACTTTGTCCTTCTGCTTTTATTTTATCTTTCAGTTTTTCCAGAAAGAAGGAATATAACATTAAATCTCCCCTATTCCACTGGTACACCTTTTGTTTTTCTTCTTCTGTGATATTTGTAGCTAACATTCCACGTCCTTTATTCTGTCTCATGTATAAGATGTCTTTAAAAGTCCATCTTAATATTCTCTTTATTAAAATCAATGATTGGTCGAAATATTCCATGATCATCACAAAGTGAAAATCATTATTTATAGCTTTGATAAATGTTTTGATGGAAATGAGATCTCGTGGGTTTTCCCTTGGAGAAAATCCCAAGTCTAATAGCTGGCGATTGTTAGTGAATGAATGGTACAAATTATATGGCTCATAACGACGAGGATTTTTGAAAAAGTTTGTTATAGGTCTAGAAATGTTTTCATTCAACATTTTTCTTATATATCCGTCCGTTAAACCATAATAATTTATAGCTGACAAAAAATTTGACAGTGGTTCACGGAGAATTGTAAAATAAAATGTTTTTCGTTTGAAAATTTTCCTAAAGGCAGTTCTGTTGTAGATAACATGATTGCAAAGAATATTAAAAGAAGTGTTTCCATGCGGATCAAAGATGTGATCACGTGTCAATGTTTCACCGACATCACCAAAATAATTGTATCGAAGTTCGCCATAGGTTTTCTTTGGCAAAGCAATGCTCAAGTTGTGGCGTTCTCCAAAACGCTGAAGAATATTTACGATTGTGGATCCCCCTGTCTTATGAGTTTTCAAAAATACTATTGCTTCAAATTCTCCTCTTCTATCAAAGGAACTGATTATAAAGTTACTATTTAACCGCTGGTATGATGCGAAAATTAGTATTAAAACTAAAGCAATCACAAATCGCCTGCAAGAAAAAAAAAACATCAAGGAAAAGGACTTTGGAAGTGCAAAATACAAGCTTAAGTCTTTCAAAACTTCGTTAAATTATTTGATACATTGTACAGCATCAAAACAAAATTTTATTATTTATGAATGAAACTATTTAAAAAATACATTACGGAGAAAAGACCTTTGACATGTAAAAATACATTTTTTTTTCTTCAAATATTTGCTAATTGATAGTGTAACATTGTAAATCATTAAAAGCAAGCTATAATCATTTTTTAAATGCAAAATTCAAAGAACTATATGGCTTTGTATAATCCTTGCAAAATTTGATAATATTGTATATATGCAAGTCAGAGTAAAGAAATAATCATCATATTCTGTTGGAATTAAAATTTATACATCTTATTTGAGATTATTACGATATTAGTATGCATATGTTGTCTTACCTGATTCGAATTTTACCTTGCATATTTCGTTTGTTTCAACGCACGTTTGTCCTGACAGGTGTTAAAGGGGTATACAGGTGAAAATAGTTTACGAAGTTATTAATATCAAATTTTTATCTTGTCTATGAAAAGGTTATCAATTTTGAATGTTTATACGACCAGTAATGTCGTACAACCACTCAAGAAGAAAAGAGGTGGTAAAGAATAACAAACAATCGATCACTTCTTAAGGAACATAGATTGTTCCTGTATACAGGGAAATTTCGCCCTCTCCTTGATTGGGCGAATTGAAAACGGGGCGAATTCAAATTACACTGCATAATTTCTTAAACAGAACTATGACAGGGCGAATTTAAAGCGGGGCAAAATTGTTCACAAGTTCAAAAGGGCGAAAATAACCTAGTATACAGTATGTATTATTAAAATAGCTGGAATTTTCTTTGTCAGTAAACTTAGCAGGTTTGAATACTTATTCCCCCCTTACTTTTTGGGGAAACTCACAGAATAAGAAGTTAACAACACAGTAAGTAGAACCGTTACAGATTATGTCAATAATGTCAATAACATTAAATCTATGACATTAAAGTTTTCTATATGTACATTTAGATAGAGATACCCCTAATGTATTGTTCACTGTTTGAAGACCAAAGTGTGGAAGCAGATTTTCAAATCAAAAACATGCTTTTATTACTCATACCTCTTTAGAGAAGTTAACTTAATTCCAAAACTGACATAGAGACTAAATGTTATGGATATATATAATTAAACTTAAACATACTTTGTTTTGTAGGGACTTGGCAAAGTCAAAAGATCCCTTACTGCTCAATGGCCTTGAGTGCCATTATATAGATAAAATATACAGGTAAATTTACCCAAGGTTAGTACTAGTCTAACTAGATGAACTTTCGAAAGTATATAAAACTAATGTAATTGTATAAACAGTTCAAATCTTAAATATTGCTCTTTACGTTGCGGGATGGAATCCCACTGTGGTACGTGGAGACCGGTCCTTCGGATGAGACCGTATTATACCACTGAGTGAAATTAAATGAAACCTTCAAAGAATCTTTATTACATATTGCCATTGTGCACCTCCAATTTACTTTTTGATCCGACACATATTTTGGGTTTCCCGGCCACAGCAAAACATGGATTTTGTCATCAGTTATAACCATATGCGAGGCGGGGGAGGTATCATTTAGTGAGCTCATTGCTCACAATACCTCTAGTTTTAGATTTATAGTTTTTGTATATTATATCTGTTAAGAATAGATTAATATAAAATATTGCTATAATTTCAATTATAAAACTAAAAACCTAACCTTAAACTAGATTAAATTTCTTTTATTCCCAGACGTAATCCCTATATACATGTACTGTTTTATTTAAGGTCAATCACATGTTTGGAGTGCAGAAAGGTAACAAATGAGAACATCCTAAAAGACTTCGCCCATATCATACATCTTATTTATGAAATTAATATCTTTATAGTGTCATTATATACGCAATCTGAGTCATATTTAAAAGATAATTTATATTAAAAAAAAATTATCTGAACGTTACGTCCTGCAAACTTTAATGGTATTTTTTAAGCCGGATTCTTTGTCTAGAATATCTTTCTACATGTAATAATGCCATCTATTTCCAAATGTTCAGTAAGAAAATGGAAAACATGAACTATTTTATAAAAGGCTTTTTAAAACTTATATTCTTGGTGTACAGAGCTTCTATAACAACACTTGTGAAAATCTAAACTGCAAAACTTGTCTGCAGAATATAGAGTGTATCTTTTGTGGGTCGGTAAAACCGTTGGTTCATTTAATAGATAAATCTCGGGACAAACATTTCAAATTATCAATTGGTACCTGCAGTTTCTCTACAAACACTTTCATTTATCTGCCTTGAAAGGTTTCATTCTAGAAAGAAATTACCATAATACTTATAGTCAATTAATGAGCACACCTTTCCGCAGACAATGAGCGGAACTCTGGATAATGACACTAGATATGTCCTTTCCATATGGATGCAGTGGTTTAGTCAGTAATGTTGGGAGTCCTTCAAGTATCAAATGGGAATTAGTCTCGTTCAACCAGACGCTCAGCTGTCTCTGTAAACTGCGACCATTTACCAGACCCTCTGGCTGGTCGGAGATGTTTTATACAATGTTTCTTGGTTGATTCAGACTACAATGGGAATGTGATGAGGTTTTCAAACAATTCACAAAAACGTAAGCGAAGTCATGGACATCGGTCTTACAAGAAATGTTTTATACAATTTTTTTTTGGTTCACTTCTACCTTATGTAGGTAAAATGTTAGGTCTTTATCAACTTAATCTTTGCACCTTTAATCCGTCTCTTTGAAAGATCTAAGTCATCTATTTGAGCAAAAAATCAAGTATAACCCATATCTGGATTGGTTGATCCTGGAATATGGACTCAGATATGTGATTATAGACAATGCAACTCAAAGTTTATTAACGTTTTCCGGAAACTTCAGTTTGCCTACCAAGGAATTGACACTTAAAATAAGTTAAAATTCTATCAAAGGGTTTCGTTTTGTATTCAACCATATTTCAAATTAAAATCAAAACCCTGTTATTCTTTCAAATATACACAAAATCCGCAATTATTAATTAGAGAAGAACCCTTCAGTGCTTATACAATAACACCTAAAAGAAAATTCTCTTGTGCGTCTATGTCTTCCTTCGCTCTACAAATATAGCCTTGCTGGACACATCATCACAACTTTTTATATTGAATAGTTACAAATGAGGACTTCAAAATAATTTATTGTAAAAGGGATATTAAGTCGATCAGATATTAATTATTTGAAACGTAATATTTATATGGAATGGATTTTTATTTTACATTATATAATTACTATGCCATTTTAAGAAATACATGCAGGATTGATATATAAACAATTTTTTATTTGTTGCATTTCATGTTTTTGTTCACTATTTTTACATGCTTTATTGTGTTACAAAGTATTATGACATCAAAATTATGACATCAAAAAAAAAAAAAAAAAAAAAAAAAATATATATATATATATATATATATATATATATATATATATATATATATATATATATATTAGAGAAAATGAAACTGTTATTGCTTTAAATGCCCTTTATACATTTATTCACTCATTGATAAGTGTTTTAATTTTTTTTTTACTTTGTAAAATTGTTTTCACTGTCGGACGGTTTAAGAAAAGAATTCAATCTACTCACAGTTCCCATTTGTCTTTCTTTGCTTGTAATTACAGGAATTAACGTAGCAGCTATAATTGCAGAAAAAAATTATATTATACTCTTTTTTTTTTTTTTTTTTTCTAAACAGCTGCGACATTAATTTCCGTAATAGGGATCAAAGTATTTTTATTGTTTCAATTACTTATTTTAAAATATTGCCAAAATTATTTGGATATAAATGCTTTTCTACGTAATAGCATTACTCATCCTGTATACTGCTTTTGCATAAATTAAAGATAAGAGTTGTGTTTCTTTCACTTCATCTCATGAAGTGCATGCATTTAACAAAAATCATTCGTTTAGCACTGTAAAACGTTGCTTTTTAAATTAAAACTTGGAAAGATGTTGTTTTTCTTCTGAACAGATGATTAAGTTTTGGACGTTTAGAGTTTTTTTGACAATCAATGTTATTCTGATGTTGCTTCACCTACTCATTTTTTTTTCAGATAAAAAAAGACATTTGATAATTTTTTTTGGCACTTTCTGAGCATTCGTTTGCGTTGCGCTGTTTTCAAATTTAAAAATTGTATCTAAAAATATTATGAAAATTAATTAGTTACCTGTTATATGTTTTCTTCAGAAAGATAAAAGAAAGATCACTTGCTTTCATTAAGTTGAACACATTATCAAAATGTATATGAAATAACGGCGTTATCCGGTAAAATCGTGGACAAACCGTTTATCTCGAAAAACAATGGGCACACTTAGCTCAAAATTTCAAATAAAAAAGTTTTTATTTGTCATACTTAAGTTCATCTCAATTTTTTGAAAAAAAAAAAAATAAAAAAAAAATAAAGATGTTAATATGTTTGAATGTGCACAGGGCACTGTGCTGGGTCTCGAATAAAAAAAATTACATAGTAGCTATACGTTGTCTTTGAAGAATACAAACGTATGGCACGCCAAATTAACAAAGATGAGATAATCATAGTTTCATAAACGATAAACTAGGTTTATCGGTTGTAAACTATAGTTTACAAACCGTAAACTATAGTTAATAACGCTAATCTATATTTCACATCTGTAAACCATAGTTAACGCGATAATCTATGTTTCACAACAGTAAACTATACTTAACACTGAAAACAATCATTTGCGATTGCAAAACATAGATTATCTGATAAATACAGTTTCACGATTTGTAAACTATATTTTACAAACCGTTAACTATAGTAAACGATCTGATAAATATAGTTTCACAATTTGTGAAACTATGATTAACAACTCTTAACTATAGTTTACGATTGTAAACTATAGTTTACCAACGTGAATCAATGTTTATCAACAAAATCTATTGTTAACGCTTTATTACAGACAGATAAACTTAAATTAACATTCGTAAACTATAGTTAACAACCGTTAAATATAGTTTTACAGATGAAAACTATACTTAACGAATCGTTAACTATAGTTTACGGTTTGTAAACTATAGTTTACAGTCGATAAACCTAGTTAATCAATTGTTAAACTATGATTATCTCATTTTTGTGAATTTGGCGTGCCATACAAACGAGTATATTATTTCGATATAAAAAGTATAAAAGAAATAATATTTGGATAAAAATTGTCCTTTTTTATCCACTAACTATTTTGTCGTCCTTTGGCAGTTTCCTTCGAAACGGGAAAATAGTAATTCGTAAACAAGACCTTTACGATGCACTGGAGAGTAGTTCAGTTTCATTTTTTGCAGATAAGTTGCTGCTAAAGGGATTTCATAATTCTGTTTAAGATCCAATTTTTCTTTATTGTCGTTATAATGAATTGTTAGCAAATACATTTGAGTTTTTTAGTTGGAATAATCATTATAAAT